TTCTTGGTTAGACACCCCCGGTTGGCTCTGTCCCCCACTGCCTCAGTGGCCACCTTGTCCTGGGTGTTTTTAGAGCTCCTTTGACTGTCATTGTCCCACCAGTTCTTCTGAAGATTGTTCATAAGTTGATCTTATGTTTTTGTTTTTCCCCTGCCAGAGGGTGGGAAGGAAGAGGAAGGGAAAAGTTGCCGGGAGGCACAATGGTGACGTGGTGTCATTGGCTGGTGCCAGCTGGTGGTGGTCAGAGGTCTGATTTCTGGACACGGTCAACGAATGTGCTTTGGAGAAGCTGTGGTCAGAATTAAGCCCACATTGGAGGGACCGTGGGCTGGCGCCAGCTTCCTATGGCTTGGCAGCCTGGATACCATGGGGTCTTCAAGGAGGATGTGTCACCACTCCCCAGGCCACCTCTTCTAGGGATGACCTCACTGGCTTCAGACACTGTCAGAGTCAGGCCCTCCTCGGCCATGTCAAGGCTTCTGACTCCCTGACCACTAAGCAGAGAGCTGATGCTCCTTCTTGGAGGGATCTGACTGCTGGTGGGCAAGCCTCCTGTCACATGGCTGGAGAAGCTTTGCAGGACCAGTGTTGATGCCTGTTGTCACCTAGGAATGAGCACGGGTGGGGGTATTAAGATGGGGCTATTTTTGTGCCAGTTAGGGATTTTTCCTTCGTGACTTCTGATATGCATTTGCCTTTGAATGTTTACATGAATCTCATGTTTGAGTTTTTATTTAAGGCAACTGCATCGATACCCTTTTGTTCTGAGCCTGCTGGTTTTGCAGTGTGGGGTGCTGCGGTGTGGCCAGCAGGTAGCTGGGTAGCCTAGCCTGGCACTCAGGGTGGCAACCTGGGGTACAGAGACACATGGCTGAAGCCAGGGTATTTCTGCGACCTTCAGGGTGAAATGTAGACAGTGAGCCTGGACAGACCCAGGTGGGGGCCTGAAGTGGGAAGATGAGCAGAAGAACGTGGGGTGCAAGGGCAGGGCCAGCACCCGGCAGAGGGCACAGAGGGGTGGAGGGGCCTGAGTAGGGGCTGTGGTTTTCCAGTCAGGAAGTTGTCCTTGGTTAAGAGCACATTCAGATGAGCAGGGGTAGAGAGGTGGGTGGGAGAGGGAAGGGGGTGTGAGAAATTTTCCCCTGGAGGAGAAGAAAGAGCAGGAGCTGGAGGAGAGGGGCACCTGGGAGGCTGTTTTCCTGTGGCTTCTGGGAGAGGCTGATGATCACTAAGATGCCGCGGGAAGGGGGCGCTGGAGGGGAGGAGGTCAAAGACATGGACAGGGCCTCTGGGATGGGGGAGGGGTGGGTCCTAGGAGGGAAGCCAGAGTGAGGCCAGGATAATCGTTAAGTTTAGTCGCAGGAAATTTTCTTTTCATAGATTCTGTTTTCCCTGGTGAATCTGGGGAACATTGTGTGATGGAGGAGAGATCCCAGAAGCCTGGCAGCCAGGGCCCAGAACTCTGAGGCAGGGCAGCCCAGGTGGGTGGGACTGTGCCCCCAGGAAGGGAAGTGCTTGGGCCTGGGGCAGCTCCTGCTCACCAGGATGCAGAGCCCAGGGCCTTCCCAGCCTCAGCCCACCATAGGTACCATTAGTTCCATAGCATGAACCTTTTTTAGGCATTAGTGACTGGAAGAGTTTTGTTCTATTACTTCACATTTTCCAGATCCACTTCACACAGATAGAATCTCTTGTAATCCTAAAAGGCCAAACACAGAGGGGAATAGTGCCAACAAGGTTGGGCCAGAACTTGTGTTAGTGCAGATAGAATGGTCTCATTTCTTCGGACATCTTGATCATCTTGATCTTGATCACTGCGTTTGGGAGGTTTCAACACGGAGGACCACTCAGACCTCATTCATTCAACCAACACTGCGTGAGCGTCCATGACCAGCCTGGCCCTATGCCCACCTGCCACCACCTTCCTCAGCCACTGCAGTCCTGGGGTTAAGCATCCTCATTTCATCAATGATGAAACTGAAGCCCAGGAAACAAGCAGCAGGGCTGGGATCCAGAACAGGGCCTTTGAGCCCCAAGACCTTTGCCCCAGTACCTCTCAGCACAATGCTTCATGCTGCTGAGGTTTTAATGGTAGATGTCTCCAGTCTTTAGAGCACCAGGCTCCTCAGGGAATCCTTGGAAAATGGCCATGTTTGAATCAGGGTCTTAGAAATTCCAAATCATTAAACTCAGGTGGATAAAGTTCCTGCTTGGCTCCTGCCTGTGTGACAAAGGCAGAGAAATAATAATAGATCTTGTTAATAAAGACAGTGGTGCTTGTGGGCTGGGCGAAGGCTGAATGCTGCCCTTGCTGTTTTGTGGCAGTGTGCCCTGCGAAGGGGAGGCGACCTTTATATTTAGTTAGCATAGTTCATCCTTTCCAGCATTGGCTTTGGAATCCATAGGTGAGAACATGAAAGTTCTAAGAAAATAAGCATCATGCTGCTGGGTTATGCACAGCAAGAATTTGACCTGGGTCTAACTGGTCGACAGGTGTCTTTCTAAGTTGTATGGTACAGAAGTAAGTTCACAGACTCTGAATTAAGTGTGTATACACACACGCACACACACACACACACACACACACACACACATGCACAACTTCTGCTGTTTATTAAAATTTTCAGGAAAATATGGAGGGCCACTCTCAGTCAGAAATTGGGCAACAACCACACCACAGCCTTGAACCCAGTGTAGGGAGCTGGGTTTTATATTTGATGAGCATGACCCATATTTTCCAGCACTGGCTTTGGAATCCACAGGAGAGAGAGGCCTTTGTCCTGATAAACTAAATGAGTGTGAACATATACCTGTAAACAATTCAGGTGTGTTTAATGGTGTGGGTAAATGCAACAGAGGCAGGTCAAATACACAGTTCAGAACAAGGAAATAACAGAGGTAAATCGTACATCTCTAAGAGACAGACATCTGATTTTGAGAAGTGGACTCACGGTGTACATGAAGTCTGAGCCCTTTTCCCCCATTTGTTAAAATGAATGTGGTGAGAATCACATGGAAAACATAGGTGATGTGCCTGGTCCAGCACCTGCCACATAGGGGATTCTTGCTAAGCGGTAGCATTAGTTAATATCATTGTCATTACTCTTACCTGGGGTCTAGCCTGGGAGGGGGCAGTGTGAGGACTTGGCAGGGTCTGCGTTGGTCGTGTTCTCTTGTGGGGGTTTCTGTGAAGGCCGTGATACATGCGAGGCAGCCGTGAGGAGGTGTGTGATAGCTCCTCCTGGTTGGTTCCCATGTGTTCCCGTGCCTGGCTTGTCCATCTTGTTGCCAGAGCTGCCCAGTAACTCTGGCCAGTTTCCACAGGCTCCTATCTGTGGCTTACCTGTGGGCCCTGAGATATGTTTGATGAGCACCACACCTCAGGCATAATTGCCCAGCCGATGGTTTTCTTTATGGCCATTCCCATTAGTGCCCTGACTTCCTGATCTGCCTCTGTCCCAGCTGGTGGATAACTGACTCTCACTAAAAATCTTTAGAAAGTTCCAGCTGTGCAGCTGGAAAAAAAAGATACTAATAATATTGAGCCTGATATGAATTAACAGGAAGTTTTAGAACTCAGGATAGAGAATTCTAGCATCTACGTTTCTTCTGTTTTCTGGCAGGCACAAGTTGGGAATGGTCTTTGGATAGTGGCTTTACCTTGGTCCTTTTTAAAACCCCCATTAGATTACTTCTTTTATCTCCAGGTAGGAACCAGCCTTACTGATAGATAAAATGTAGCTAATCTGTTTCTTCAAATCATGATGCTAAACCTGCTGGAAAGGCAGAGACAAGGCCCCTGAACAAGACACTAAAGTGAACCTTCCCTTCTGTCCCTTTGGTCATATACAGTGGAAGGGGCCAACTTCAGGAAGGAAGCCCCTGTAGTCCTGGAAGCTCTTCTGGTGGTGGTGGGCCTGGATTAGGATTTTTTCCTGACTCAGGAATGGAGGCTGTCATGTGGTCAATGAAATCTGCGAGCCTTCAGCTGGATTTCAGTTTTAAGTTCACCTGGGGCTCTGGGTTCACTCTACATCAGGAGGAGTCCTGCTAGTTAAAATGTTTGTGTCCCCACTAAGAAAGGACTTTTGGCCCCAGAGAAGCCACATATGAGAGAAAACATTCAACTCTTGACTTCTTCATCTGGCTTGTTTCACTTAGCCTGATGCTCTGCAGTTCCATCCATTTACCAGCAAATGACATAATTTCGTCCTTCTTTATGGCTGAGTAATACTCCACTGTGTATATATACCACATTTTCTTTATCCATTCATCCTTTGAGGGGCATCTAGGCTGGTTCCATACCTTGGCTATTGTGAACTACGTTGCTATAAATTTTAGAATGCAAGTATCAGAGGAACTGCAAAATGAATGATGACTAAATTATGCTCTATGCATGTATGAATATATCATGAATCCTACTTTTTAAAATATTTGCTTTTTAGTTATAGATGGACACAATATTTTATTTTTATGTGGTGTTGAGGATCGAACCCAGTGCCTCATGCATGCTAGGTGAACACTCTACATCTGAGCCACAACCCCAGCCCCCCTACTTTTTATATATAACATACCAATTTTTAAAAAGTAAATAAATATAAGGAAGCCCAGTAGTCTAGAGGAAGGAGACCATGAGGAGAGGGAAAGGTGTGTACTAGGGAATGAAATGAAGCAACTAGATTATTTGCATGTATGAATATGTCACAGTGGACCCCACTATTATGCATGATTACAACGCACTACTCAAAACATAAAAAGAGAATATTTTGACGTAGAAATCTTGGGAAATGTGGCCAAAGTTATGGGAGGAAAGTATTCTGCATCTCCTCCTCACCTTTGGCAGCACGTGCAGACACCTTCTCCCACAGATCCCGCCTTCCTCCCCGACCTGGTGAAGGTGAGAGTAGCCAGGTCTTCAGCTCCCCGCTCCTTCCCACTTGATGTGGTGGGTTTTGCATCCCAAGTAGAATCCCTGTTGAAATGGACTCTCTGCTTTCTAGGAACTAGCCAGCTGTGGATGGAGTAAGAAGGAGAAACACAGTCTGGCCCCCAACGTCGTGGCCTTCACCCGGAGGTTTAACCAGGTAAGCAACCGCCCTTGTGTATGCCTGTCCAGAGGCAGTCTGTTGTCCCTAAATGCTGCAGCCCCACCAGGGTTCACTTCGAGGCACCTTGCCCCAGGTCCAAACCCTTCCTCCAGACCCCTGTGTTCACCCACTCTCACGCCATTACAACCCAGTTCATAAGGTGGGTAGAACTGAACATGTCTTTCCTGTGTCTATGTCATGCCAGGGGCTTCAATTCCATATAAGCTAAGGTTCTAGCACCCTGTTGTGCTCTGAGAGGTCAGGTATCGGGATCCAGCCTCTGCCATCCTCCAGCCTTGCTTCCTATTCCTCCCTCTTCAGGCTTCACCATGCTGGCCTGCGTCTCTTGCCCGATGCATCGTGTCTCTGTCCTATAGGGGCCCTATGTGTTCTGCTGTCAGCCCAGAGCTCCTCCTTCATGTTTAACTCTCAGATCTTAGCCTGTCCCCTGGGTCCCCAGCCTGTCAGAGGTCTCCCGATCATCCATTCCCTCATGGCACCATGTCCTTCTCTGTGTGGTGCTTTACCCATCTGTCTTCATCCTGTGTAGCTCTCTGGTCTCTGCTTCCTTGCCAGTCTGTGAGTTTCATAGGACAGGTACCACGCACGTCTTACTCATCACTATGCCCACCTGCCACCTGCTCCCTTACCCAGTGTCGGGCAGAAAGGTACTAGACCTTCAGTAGGACCAGTGAATGAGGTGCTCAGGAAACAGTTTTGAGTTGGACTTCTTTGAACCCAGATTAACTGGCCCCATACTATTCCAAACTGATTTGATGGAGCACAATTTTTGCTCTGGTTGTGACGACTCCCGTTGCATAAACCAAACCCCCAAATGATGCTGTTGGCAATTTTTTCTTCTTCTGTTTTGTTTTTCTGGTTTCAAATGAGGACAGTGGCCCAGAGGTTGCATAATGTGCATGATTGGTCCTCTGGGTGCTGGGGCCTATGTTCCCTTGAGGCCATGGCTCCAGCTGGGCCTTCCCTCTTGGAAATGCCTGGTCCTGTGCATCACTGCTATTCAGCTTTTCCAGCCCTCATAGCCTCAGCACCCATGTGAGCACAGTGGGAGCCTCACAGAGACACCAGCTTATTGGCTGAAGATCAGGACTAGAGCGGACCGAGGTGTTCCTTGGTGAGATATGATTAAGAGCTAAGAAAGGCCTAGATGCGGCTGGGCTAGAAGCTGCATATCGTTTGTTTTGAAAAATCAAGTTCCAAACCTTTTGCTTCTTTTCTCTTTCGTTTGAAAATCTTTTTCTTTTCAACTGAGCTTAGTCTTAAGAAAACAGATGTGCATAAACTATCAGGGGATTCATAGTTTTCCCAACAAAACAACTTGACTGGGAGCCAACTCAGTCCCTCCTCTGACCAGCCATGGAGCTCCTGTAGGAGAGGCTGTTGGGGCTCTGATGCAATCTGCTTTGCAGGCAGATGCCAGGCCAGCTTGGCAAAGGCCATGCAGATTGTTCTGTGAACAATTGCATTATGTCCAGCTCAGGCTGAGTGGTGAAATGAGCCAGAAGTGAAATTGCATTTTCTCAAGCAGAATGCTCCAGGAAATGGACTTCCTGATGGCCCTTTGGCCGTTCCTGGACATAGCCCTGGTAGCTCTAGTTTGAACATTGCCCAGAGGCCAGGACGGTCAGCCACTGGGGTGGCTTTCTTCGGGATGTACTCATTGGTGTCCCTTCCTGGTGGGCCTTTCCATGTGAGGACAGGACTCCAGGTAAAAGGAAGCAGGTCACTGCCCCTGCAGAGCCTCAGTTTCCAAATCTGTAACTGAGAATGAGATCCTCTGCTTGCATAGTGTGTGGCACCAAGAGGTATCCATATGTTTTAGAGGGAAGACAAGGAAAATGTGCAGATCAGCTGATGGGAAGGAGGTTGCCAGGGATTGAGGCTCCTTGTGGCCAGGCCAGAAACTCAGTGGCCAGTGTCCTGATCTGCTTGCCAGCAGGGCCCGAGTCCCTAGGGATTTCTTCATAGAACAGCTGCATGGAAGAGCTCAGCCAGGTTCTTTGGGGTCTTGACCTCAAGGAGTTCTCCTTACAGCAGAGACATTCTCCATCTTTTTTGAGTCATGGATTCTTGTGAGAATCTGACGATATCACATAAGAACTTTTCCCCAGAAACTGTGGACACATACATTTGCATGTAATTTTAGGGAGTTGATTGCTGCACTAAAATGAATGCGGGATCGCTTTAGGGTCTCAGAGAATGAAACAGATCTGACCTGGGTTGGCGTCTTAACCCCATAACTCATTAGTTGTACAGTGTGGGCTAGCTTTTGGCCTCTGTGAGCTCATCTTCCTCAGGAAGCATTTTGACTGTTTTTTAAAGATTAAATGAGAATCATGGGAGTAAAGGGTCTAGCCCCATGCTTGTCACACAGGAAACGATTAACATGAAGGGTTGTGGGAGCTCTGAGCCAAAAGAAAGGTTAAGGCCAGACTAGAGGCTGGGGCATAGGTATAGGTGTGAGGGCAGGGGCGGTGTCCAGGGGATGCTGAAAGTTTTGGAAATGATGAAGAGGAAGTCGGGAGTAACAGAGGCCCAAGTGTGAATGTGAGGACTGCTGGTGTTTGTGGATGGGCAGAGGACAGCGGGCAGCACAAGTAGCTGAGAAAGGGTGGCCAAGAGCAGAAGGAACACCCAGGAAAGGTAGTGGAATCATTTTGAGAGAGAGAGAGAGAGTGCTGCAGCATGGGCCACGTAAGTCAGCTGGAGAAGAGGCCTTGAAACCTGGCATCGAGACCCTGCTGGTGACATCAGGCAGACAGTTTTGTCGGAATCGTAGCAGGCTGAGTAGGAGGAGATGGCGACAGCGGAGAGAGAGCAGGTGCGGGTGATCCCAGCAACTGTGACTCCAAAGACGGAGATGAGGAGGAGATGGCAGGAGGGGTCAAACAGGCCCAGAGAGGTGGTCCTCTGTTTCTTCTTCTAAGTGGGCAGTCTTGAGGAGGTTCCTGTTTTGAATGGAAGAATCCAGGAAACAAGGAAAAGTTAAAGATGAGAAGGAATCCTTGATGAAGTATTTCCCAGAGAAGGTGGGAGAGGCTGAGGCTGGGGCTCTTGGGATGAGAGGTGCCCCAAAAAGGCAAGATGCAGTTGTCAGTCCACCTGTAGATGTGACACAGGGAGGCCCTGTGGCCTCTTTTCTTCAGGAAAACAGGAGGCAAAGGGGGAAGCAGAGGGTGGGAAAGTGGAAAACCCACTCCAGGGTGAAGGAGGAAGAGCTGATATGGAAAGGCTCTAGGGCACCGATGGTGGCACAGTAAAAATTGTGACTTTTACAGTGTCCCTGGGGCAGTAGGCAGGTAGTCATATCCAGTTAACCTGCACAGCCTGAGAGTGGGAGCACAGGAGGCATGGTGGGATCCATGGTGGGATTCGTGGTGGGATCCATCTGTGCATGCACACAGAGGCCAGCAGCCTGAGTTTCTGGAAGGACCAAGGCAAAAGAGAACTTCAAGTACTGGCAAAGGAGGGAGTGGAGTAACAACTGATAGGGGATGGGTCTGCCTAGAGGAAAAGGATGCCAAGAAAGAGGGCTGCCAGGGACTCCAGGGGATGCTGAGAGGGAGGGTCTGGCACAGTGGGGTCAAGGAGAAGGGTTGTGGCCAAGACTGGAGTGTAGTTTTCTGCTGTCGAGCCATCCCTGGTAATCAGGAAGGAGATGGTGATGGAAGTGGTGGGAGCGATGGTTGCTGCAGTTGAAGTGGTCAAGAGGCATGAAGCTGTAGTTCATGGTGATGTACAAGTTGCTTGAGGAAGAAGGTGGGATTTGTGGTGGAGAGAAAGAAGTGACCCAGATCCTGATCTGCTTGTTTATCTCTATTGGTTTATCTTTTCCAGACAGTCTAAAAAGGAAGACAGAAAGAAAAAGGAAGGATATATATGTAGCCTGTTTAGACCAGCATTTTTCACTTTGTAATAGACTCATCTCTCTATATATGACTTGATAACTCATTTCAGTTTTTTACATGAACACTATGTCACTATATGGATTCCCCATGGTCAGCTTACCCATTGATCAATACTGAAGGACATCTCAGTTTCTTCCAGTTTTTGACAATTTGAATAAGTTGCTGTGAACATTTTCATGCTTGTATGTGTGCTATGTAAGTTTTAAAATCATCTGGGTAAATACTTAGGGGTGCAATCTGGACCACATCTGCCCCCTCACAACAACATGTGAGAGTTTGCCTTGCTCCAGATCCCTGCCAACCATTGGCATTGTCAGCTCTTTTGCATTGAGAAGTTCTCATAGGTGTAAGTAATTCTATTCTGGTCTGCTTTATGTCCAGTTTGGGGTGCTTCACATGGGGTGCCGATGTCACACAGGAGCTTGTAAGTATCACAGTGACCAGAAGGGTGAGGGGATCAGGAGAAGGTCTAAGGAGTGAGAAAGCTCAGGGAGGAGTCAGCGAGGTTTGTAAGTAACTGTGGGGTTCTTACTGGGTGGCTGGATCAGCCCAGAGGGCCTGATGGTTAAATACAGGGACCAGAAGTAGGAGGCAGTTTGGCTCTTTCCTAACTGTGGAAGCTCAAGCAGAAGCCAGACAAGGGCTTTATCATGGTTAGTGTAGAACTGCATCCAGTGGTGTGGCAGAGAAAAGGCAGAACCTCTAAGATCCCTTCTAACTCTTGGTTTCTTTAAAAAAAAAAAAAAAAAAAATCATGAATGGACTTATGAGAAATTTGTGGCAAAAGTAGATTTCTCATAAGAAAAGATAATTTTTTTTTCTTAAACCTAGATATTTTTTTTCCTTTTGCCACATGGTTTGATTGTTTTTATTTGTGGTTGATTAACTAAATAAAGTTCTTTGTGTTCCTATGTATTTAGTTTGTTCATCTATAATACCTCTTTGGGTCTCCCAGGGGATGTCTAAGTCCCCAGCAGTTGAACTCTATAGCTATATCACCGAAGCAACTGTCATTATAGTAATAATTTGTGTGTATTGAAAAGTTATTTACACTGTGACAAAATGGGA